TTATTCATTAAAAAAACACACTATATCGGATGCGGTAATAAAAGCCGAGAAAGGTCAACAGTGATCACTGACTGTTTTTAGGAGCTTTTTGAGATTAAATAGAAAAAAATACAAAACATTAAACATGTTAACAACACAAAAGCCATATTAAACACAGACTACTTTAGGCCCAGAAGCAGGATTCGTCACGTCATCACTTAAAGACCGGATAGCCTGGTGACCTTGCCTCTGTTAGACTTTCTTTTTCTTAAGTTCCAGATTATCATAAATATGTTAGAGGGAGTTTTTTGGGGAAGATCAACAAGCTTGTTATTAGAGTCTGATGGTAGAAAATATAAAAGATGTGGTGCCACACATTGGTTTGTAGACCACTGTCCTCATTTATTTTTCATGTCCTTTCAAAAACAAGAGGTCTTGGGTTTGAATCTGGCCTGGGGCCCTTCCTTGTGAAGCTTTTATATTTCTCCATGTCTGTGTGGGTTCTTTTCAGTTCAAAGGTTGATGCATGCTTATTAGGTTATTAGGTAGTGGATCTCAGGTTTCTTATATTCAGTCATGTTGCAACTTAATCATAATATGCAGACTAAGACAGCAGATGCAAGTCCACGTTAGCATTGCAACTAGTTGCATTTACACCAGACTGTGGCCACGATGTTCAACAGAAATTCAAACATTCCCAACAGCATTGCATTGACACCAGCCTTTCTGTTAGAATATTCTCGGTTAGAGATCAAAATATCATATGAAGAGGATGTATCAGCCTTAAGCATGAGTCATGAGCATGTTGTGTTTTTCCAAAGGTCCTGCTCTCTATGCCTACAACAATGCTGCATTTACTGTTGAAGACTGGCAAGGAATTCAGATGGCTGGAAGGAGTGTGAAGCGTGATGACCCAAGCAAAGTTGGGAGGTTTGGAATCGGCTTCAACTCTGTTTACCACATAACAGGTGAAACTATCTATAATTATCACAGTTAGTATGAGAAGTATTTTATAACAACATGAACTGGAACATATACTTTCTTTGTTCACAGATGTGCCAAGTATATTGAGTTCAGAGCATCTTGGCATGATGGATCCCCAAGAAAAAGTATTTGGAGAGAGAAATGGAGGGTTTCGGTGGTCTTTGGATGATTCTGAAGACCAAGAAGTTCTGCTGAATATGCATGATCAGTTTCAACCATTTAGAGATATAGTCTCACTTGTATGTGAACATGGATGGTCAAAAGTTGTCATGGAGGATCAGCACTTCAGTGGGACAATTTTTAGATTTCCTTTACGCAATGAAGCATCAGA